GGGCGGGGAGGGAACATGAATGTTATTGGGGGGTGGGTGCGGACGTCTGGTCGCGAGTCGCGTTAGTATCTGCGCATATAGCGAATGTTAGGAGGTAATATATGCGTACCTTTGAAGTACAGAGGGAGAGAGTTTGCCAACAGACTGAGCGGGGCGAGGTTGATGAACCGCTCAGCGTGCATCTCCGAGTATATGTGCTCGAGCACACTATGATCTCTCGGATCCTGCACGCCCATCCTTCTCCCTTCATCCTCCTTCGCCAACCCACCACTCCCACTCCCGCCTCCCAGCGCGATCGCGCCAGAAACACTATTTCGCGCCGATATTTCCTTTTCTCTATCTTCCGGCAAGAGCGGGATCAGGCCGTAGCTAGATCCTAGTGTCGAAGATGGCAGACCAGCGAGATCGGTCGAAGACGAAGCGCGAGGTGCAGCGGGAACGCGTAGTTTAGACGCCGTACGTGTATGCGAAGGCAGCCCATCATGCGACGCATACGACGCAACAGAAGACAACGACGCGTTCGACGAATGCCGATGCGTATTCGTAGCATTCGGCCGCAGAATCGAGTTCCTTTGCGAGCTCGGATGCAACGACGTCGCAGAGTTCGGCTGCGAGACCTGCAGCGACGACGCGATGGAGCTCTGCGGCACCTCGGACTCGGGGCTGAGCAGCCGGTCGGCGGTCGTGTCGTCCGGCCCGAAGAGCGTTGCGCTCGGTATGCGGACGCCCAGCGCGCCTTTGACGTCTGTGACTTCCGCGCTCGTTCCGGGGGGGCGTTCTTGGGATATATCGCGAGAGGTCGACTCTTTGTTTTGGCCGAAGCGTAGACCGTCGCCTTCTCCGCTTCGCCTGAGCAGTACTGCGCTGGCCTTCCTGACCAAACCCGCGCTCGTGCTCTCCGCTGCTGCAGTTTCCTTTGTCGCTACCTCCTTCTCCTTCTCATCTGGGGCCCTCCTTGCAGATGGATTGCTCAACGAACGTATGAAGCTCGGTCGCTTCGTCATTTGCAGACGATCCGACTGGGCTTGTGCACCCTGTGGCATACTTGAAGGAGGTACGGCAGGGCTTGCAGGGGTGGAATGCGTATGGGCATGCGAGGGAGCAGATGTGGTGCTTATAGCCGTCTTGCGTGGTGGAACGGGCAGCGCAGGTGTAGCGGCGAAGGCCATGGGTAGCGTACTAGGTGTGCCCAAGAAGAATGGCAGCTCTGGCGCATCGAGCGTGGTCGCTCTTTCCAGCGCGTTGGGCGCGTTCGTCGATGCGCGCTTTTGAGGAGGCAGAGATGGTGCACGACGCTTCATTGGAGAAGGCAGCAGAGATGACGAAAGAGAAGTCGCCGAGGCTGTCGGTGGGGAGGATGCGGGCGTTATCGGAAGCAGAGGCTGGGGTGGAGATGGTAGAGAGGATGTAGAGGCTGTGAACGCTGCCGATGTTGAAGACGGGGCGGGAGAGGGCGGGGGCGAAGACTCGCGCGGCTGGCCGGGGAAGAACAGGTCCTCTTCCAGTATCTACGCAACAGTCAGTCATAATCTATAACGCATAAAATAGAAACACAGACCTCGAGCGCGCCGCCTGGCCGCATGACCCTCGAGATCTCGTCGAGCAAGTGATCCCACCTGTCCTCTGGGACACCTCTCGCGATGCGCTTTACGTGCACAAAGTCAAACTCGTCCTCGGCAAAGGGCAGCCCGTCCAGCGCATTATCCTGCACCCATCTGATCCTCCCGCCGAGCTCTCCTCTGACGTCCGGATGGAGAGGCACGAGATCCATGCCGACAAACTCGGTGTCCCGCCAGACCTTTGCGCACTCCAATATCCAGGCGCCTGTGCCGCATCCGAGATCGAGGACCTTCTGGGGCGGGGCGTCGAATACATGAAAGGTGAGGCTGTTTGAGAGCTGGCGCGTGAAGAGCGTCTCCCAGACGTCGTGGTCGATCACGTCCCGCTCGTAGTTGCGCGGATAGGGCGCCGCCTTGCACGCATAAGCGTGGTGTCTCCGCCCGTGCTTGAACACAAACTGGGACGAGCGAGCCGAGAGCCCGCGCCTGAGCTCCTCGAGGATCGTCCGGTCGGCCGTGCTGAACTCTGGCCCGGCGACAGTGACGTCTTTACCCTTTCCCTTCTCCAGCCCCGGCGTCTGCGGCAGCGGCGGGGGCGAAGGACTCGCGATCTGGGTCGACGCCCTGCGCTGCTTCGTGCTCGCCCGTTTCCTGAGCGGCATAAAATCCGCAAACGGCCCTGTGCTCGGCGCGCGCGTAGGCGCCGGCGAGGGCTGCATGTTGTGGTGCGAGATGGGTGTCGGCGCGAGGATCGTCACGGCCGCCGCAGACCGAGCACCTCCACCAGCAGGCACGCCCGGTTCCCCTCGCAACGGGCTCTTCACCGGCCTCGCGGGCGGCAGCACCGGCGACGTAGACACAGACACAGACGGGCTGCCCGCGCTCGTGCTCGTCGTCCGCTTCCGCAACGCAAGCCGGCTCCGGCCCGCGCCCTGCAACAAACTCGACGACCGCGCCATCAGTCCCCCGCCGGACGACGACGGGCGCTTGTTGCTGCTGCTGCTCGTCTCTCCTGCTTGCGCCGCCAGGACGGATATCGGTCTGTTTTTCGGCGGTTGGGATGCGGACCGCGTGCGCGTGCGCGGGAAGGGGCCGGGTCCGGGTGTGCCGCCCACCGTGAGCACGGTATCGACGAGCCCGTTCATCCCGAACGCGTAGGGCTGTTCGCGCTGCAGCTTGACGAGTAGGACGCTCGATCGTAGTAGGCAGGGAAAGAGGGATGGCCAGCTGCTCTCTCATGAATTTGCGTCCGTGCTATAGATTCATCTGCGTTCACATCTTTTCGGTGCCCATCTGCATTTGCTCCCGCTAGTGCATTGTTGGCCACCAGCGGATCTTCTCCCATGAGGCCTGCGCGCTATAATTCACTCTCTTTCTTCCCGCCGCGCCACTCGGCGTACCGTTATCCCGACGCGACTGCGCCCATAAGTACGTCGGGCGGGTATCTATCAACGCACGAGCTGAGGTCAAGCGACTACGCCTACTGACAGCTCGCGATCACAGCTATCGCAGGTCTGGGCGTACACACACGCTTCTCCCGCCGACGCCTTCTCAGAACACACGCCCGGAAGCCCAATGCGATTCCTGACGTCGGCAGATCGACCGTGTAGCCCTCTCGCCCCTTCTGTTCGGAAGCACAGGGCTAACAGAGTACGTACTCGCTGCAACGCGGCTCGCACTCCACGTTCATACCGGTGCCGCGACTGTATGCCCGTGTATTCGCGCTGAGCTGGAGAGCGATCTGGATGTCGTCGACTCGTCGGGGCCACAGCAAACCCCGATCGGAGCTGTCACGGACATACGCGGCCTTGTTCGGTTTGCGTTGACACAGCACTTAGCCTCCTCTATCTAATTGACAGCTTCTTCTATCTTCTTGGTCGATCGTGACAGCGCTTGACACGACCACAGCTCGAACGTCAAAGGCTAAGTGTAGCGACAGGTACAGGCGCATCGTACGTCCGGCGTGACGTCCCAAGCCCCTGTTGCCCTTCTCATCAATGCAGCAGGCTCTTAGACTCGAACCCTGTTATCTTGCCGGATTTACCCCATGCGTATCTTAGCTATGGCGTGCAAGGATCGATAGCCATCGATTGGGATGCAGTCAAAACGCTACCTCACAGGCGTAAGGCGCGCCGTCATATTTACCTCTTCGACGTTCATTGACAGCTGCGTATATGCGCCCATCTTTGGCGCAAGATCTGGAGATCGCGCTAGTCGTGCACGACGCATATTTGTGTGAGCACGGGGCCATGATGCGAAGGGGAATCGGCAGGAATCGGCGCGACCCTGTACATTGACGCTCAGGCCCACGGCTAGTTCACACTGGTTGAGTATACATCCAGCATACACCTTCATGGCGGATTTGCTGTATGGACCCATTCTGCGCAGAACAATCTACTTTGTATTTGAGGATGAACCGCATTTCTTCCAAACGTCGTACAGCTCTCAAAGATAATATATGCGTGCGACGAAGTTCTTCGGAAGCTATGCCGCCCATGCATAAATTGCCGACTGCAGTGTCCGGGTACCGTAGTACAACCGTGATATCAGGAAGGCAACAAAAATAATACGTCATTCTCATCGGGATTCCCACTAGCCGACTTGAACGACTGACCTCGTCATTACTAGTGACGCGCTCTACCAACTGAGCTAAGCGGGAGTTGAAAGTGTCTCACCTACAAAAGTTATATCCGTAAAAACAGCTGTTGCTATCCCATCGTCCTCACAGTCGCTCCGGCGTTTACCTTCAGCGTCGACGACGACGTTTTGCACCTCGGCAAAAGCTTTGAATTGCAGGATGCCCTCACGCGTGCTGCTCGCGACTGGCGCAACTCAGGCCTCAGGGCCGCTGCACAGTGACACTGTCTACTCGTCGCGCTTCTGTGCACAAAGCTAGCGTCGACAACCCCGCGTGATGATCACTGCTCTATCCGAGAGCGTCTGTAGCGAGTACCCTGTACCCAGATTGCCTCACTGGCAAAGAGTCGTTGTGCGCAAGCCGCCTTTCGGCGCCACCCTCCTCCATCTCGCCTCATGCCGACTTGGATCCGCATGTGCCTGCCTGGTCTACGACCCTTCCATTGTCCTCCCTCGGCGACACTGCCATTGTCCCTTTAAGACTCGACAGGTCCCCGGGTGGCGGGCCTGGCGATTGTTCTCCGCGCACCGCCAATGCCTCAACCACACCACGGCCCGCGAAGTCCGGACAAAAGCGGGTGCAACGAGGTGGTCCAAGTGGAGGCTTGGACCGGTAGTATAAGGGTGGCGGGATAGCTGGAGGGTGGTCCACCTTTCCATCGTCTCGTCGTCCATTGCCCGTCAGCCGCCCGCTTGTTTGCTCAGAGCTAGCCTCTTGCCAACACTTCCACCGCTATCCATAACACTGAAACTACGATGGCCTACTATCAGACTCCCGCATGGGCGAACACCGATCAACCTCCACTGGACGCTACCACCCACATCATTCCCACCAACGCGCAGATCCAAGAACTCGCGAGGCTCGACTCCCTTCTGCTCAATACGCTCAATCGTCTGCATGACCACATCGCCACGATCCCGGAAGCGCCGCGTGAACGCATCACCAATGTGGTACAGGACACCCGGGGTGTCCTCGTACATGCGCAGAATCAAGTCTACGATATGACGAGGAAACTGTGCGTACTTCTCGCGCTCACGGCTCTTCTATCACACACCAAGACTAACCCGTCGCTGTCAACACAGACACAGAATGTTCAGATATCATCCTTACTTTGACGTCACGGACATCATGAACTCTTCAAGATCGCTATCGGAGACAAATCCCGAGTACAACACATCACCGCACTCGCCTCCGGCTGTCCCTCAGAGCCATTATGCCCAAGCGCCAAGCCGCACAGTCACCTGGGACAGGATTATGGGACATGGCGCGGGATTCTTTCACTGGCCAGAAAGCCCATCGCTCGCGTGGACACCGTCGCCCGCGAGACCTACTCCATCGCCCCGTGGACCACCCCGTGTCTCACCCTCGCCACCGACATTGGGTCCACCTCCTGTGGGCAGGGGCCGAGGCAAGGGCAAGAAACGCAGCTACGATGAGGATGAGGAGGATGCTGAGGCGTATACTCCGAGTGCAAAGCGCGCGCGGCTTGACCAAAGCACTGAGGATGTTGTTATCAGAGAACAGGCGGCGGCACATGAGGTTGCAGGGAACTGGGTGGCGTCAATGAGCTATGGGGGTCCATGCTATGGGACTCGCTACTACTCTGGCACTGAGACCGCATCTGCCTCTACGTCCGAGCTTACGACCTATCGCCTCGTTTCGCCTGGTCCAGACGTGGACAGCACCTACCACGAGCGCCGCTCATGCCCGACGTACGACGATTATCCGGATTTGCCTCGGACCGTGCCGAATACACCGGCGCCTAACCCTTCCTCGCCGACGTACAGCCCCCCCTCGCCCGTATTCAACAAGGACTCGCCTCGCTACGCCCCGAGCCCACCTCGTCACGCTCCTACTTTGTCTTGCTACGACCCTACCACGCTTCCTCGCCGGCCTTACCCCTCTACTCTCCCGCCTCGTTTCACGTTTCCCTCGCCGACGGGCGCACCAGCGCCTGCGCCCAACCCGTACTTGCCTGCCGCTGAGCAAACCATCATCGAGTATGGCACTCCCATCCCGCCAGCATGGTCACCTACGGTGCCATACGCAGAGGTGGCGGCGGCGCAGAAGGTCAAGCGCGAGCCTTCTGCCGAGCTTGTCGTTGCGGGCCCCTCGAAGGAGATACCCGCGCCGCGCCGTAGTCAGCGTACACGCCGTCCCGCGAAACCGCGCTCGTCGTACGGGGCATAGTGCATGGGCAATCATGCCCAATAACTGGGCGCTTGACGCCCGATTTTGCGCGAGCACTCGCCAGGGTACGAACCTACCCGAGGGTTTGAGGCTCGCACTGTATTTCGCTCTTGATTCCATGTGCTTTCGACTGTTTCGCGCTATTGCTCTGTATACAGATCTGTTTTGCGTTCTGGAGTGTCTCTCTCGTCTAGATGGTTTCTGTATCCTATAATACCTGCACTTGCTAGTTGATAGACCGGGGCAATGACGTCATTGATTCCGCCGTTCTGATGCGCGCGCGACGGGAGCCTTGTTCTCAACCAGCACCTCCAACTCGAGCGAAAGCGACCATGTCATACCCGCCACACCACCAACTTCTAGCTCATTCAATGAGCCTTTGTGACGCTCCTGTCTGGCTCCGGCCGTGCGCCTCTGAGTGGCAGCTCAAGCACTCAGTGGCGGGCGCGAGGCGAGGCGAGATGGCGCGCTGGCAGTGGCGTTAGGCCTGGTCTTTTGTCCGTTGACGTCGGTCCTTGAACTAGTCACCCTCGTTGTGTAGCGCATAGCTCTGAGCTTATCTTGCGTCCTTTCTTCGCTCGATGTGCGCGACAAAAGAAGGGGGGATAATCGATGCCAGATACCCGCGCCATCCTCTTCGCACGACGTCGCCGCGCGGGGCCGCCCGGCGTCCGCAGCCGGTGCCCCCTGCTCGCTCTACTTGGAGAAGTCTCCCTCTTTTGAGCAAACGCCGCTGGCAGACTCTTCCGAGTAGGCCATAGCGCTCTGAGGTACTGGCTACATGCCAATGTATTGCGCGGCAATTCTCGTCCGCTGTGGCGAGAGCTCTCCCACGCCCCTTTTTGTCCCGTTTTGTACTCTGACCCTCGGGCTGCAAAAACAAAGGAACAACGGATCCAAGCTTCCAGCTGGCGAAGCATGACCTGGAGGGTCTAGCGCTCATAAGGTGGCGCGGTCGCTCTATAGTTCGCACTCGCTCCCCCACCTGCCGCCGGTCGGCCCTCCATCCTATCCGCTCGCGACTGGTCGCTAATCTCTCCGTCCCCATACTCTCCACGGCACTCACGTCTGCATCATGGTATACCCTTACGATCCTGTGCGCGAGGCGCAAAAAATGAACACCGGCCGGTATGTCTTACTGTCAGTGCGCCGTCGAGTGGCATCGCTGACGAACTCGACTTTGCTATAGGTACCTGTCCACTCCGGAGGGCCGACCTTACGATCTCGACTCCCCCTCTTCCTCGAATACCTCTCTTGATGCGCTGGCTGGTCCATATGCGTCAGAGGCGAGCTATCTGCAGTACGCATACAACGAGTGGCACGAATGGCACACAACGGCAGAGACCAAGCACGACACTTCACGCACTCTCGCACACGCCCCTTTCCATGTTGCGCCGCATACGCTTCAAACTCCCCCTCACTACCTCCCGCCGCTCGAAGACCTGACAGCGGCGCTTCACTATCGATCCAATGCCCCTGCGCCACACGTCAACGCTGAGGCAGGACCCTCCAGTCAAGCTGGTGACACGGCAGTGTTTACCCCGACCAACCTATGTGCCTCGATACCTACGCCTGATCCTCCTCAATCTAAGCCTGGTACTGACTCGCCCAATGATGGTTATGAGGTCTCCGAAGGTTTTGTATGCGGTGATTATGTCGACATCAATGTACGTGCATGACCCTATACACCATCATAGTGTCTCAAACCCATGATTTCCGCAGGCTTCGAGGGGTGACCCGCTTTTCTCGAAGCTAAAAAATTGGGAGTTTTCTTGGGGGCGCCTGAACTACGAGTTGGAGGGACGCAGCGACGCGGACCAAATAATTTCACCGATGGAGGTGGTGATGAATGAGGGATCGGGCAAGCTCGCGCCACTCGGCGCACTGCGGCGACAACCGACTTTGTTGAGCTTCTTCCCAACTCAGTCTTTTCCAGTACCATCCAGGGATATGGTCCACTCGGCTTCTTCCTCGACAATACCTCTCCTACCGGATCCATCCTCCTCTTTCCCTTCACCATCTGCCCTTCCACCTCTTGCCTCACCCGTCGCATGTTCCCACGAACGCATTCTCAGGAGCAATGTCTGCGATGCGCGCAGCATTCCGCAGGACGACGAGATCTGGCGGAAGGATGGGAAACGCAAGAGGGTCATCTCCATCCAACATGCATCCGAGGACGCGAGGCCTACCAAACGCGCGAGGGGGACTTCCGCGATAACCCTTCGGATTGCTCCAACACCCTTCGGTCTTCATCACAAGGGCAAGGAGGCGGAAGATCCCGCTCAACCCGCTCGTACCCGCGCCGTTTCACAACAACCGTTACGCCTACATTTACGGATTCCCCCCCGCCCCGTGTGCACGCCGAGGGGCGAAAAGAGGAACGGTCTGGCGCGGCGGTCTGACGCACCGCCCATCAACCTCGCCCCTGCACCTCGCCGACGCAACCTGCGACCGCGCAAAGCCAACTTTACGTACGCGGGGATGTGCTAGCATACCATTGACGCAGCGCTGAGGTTCGTTCACTATATCGTATTGCCCCATGCCCCATAGTATGCCCCTCTTTCTCATGCCTAGGAATGACTCCCAGTAACATATCAACCTTATAACATGTACTGGACATTATGCGATGCTTAATATAACCTACTATAATGAACATCATGGGTTGTTAGCAGTGGGACTCCGAGGGCTGTACACTCTCGTGTGTGGCACTTGATCAACCGATTCGCCGGTTCAGCTTCAGATGCCGCGCCGTCACTCGTCTTCAACCGCCACCTGCTACCATGTCAAAGTCGTGTGCCCGTCGACTTTGCTCCTTCGTCTTGCTTGTCAATACCTGAGCGTACCAACTATATCCGCCAGCTGTTCGACTATTCGCTCGCCAGGGCTCAGCCGTGTCATCCACTGAGGGAACAGGAGGCCTGGTCTCGGAAGGGTAGTCGGGCGTACTGAGAACACCGCCTACCCATCCGCCATCCGAAACGAAGAGTCGGACTCACCGCTCTCCCTATGGTCTATCCGAAACCCGTGATGTCTATATAATCTGCTCGCCGACAAACGTAGAACACCATCACAATCTACCACATCGATCAACAGTCTTCACCTTACTACCCACACATCAAGCAAACATGTTCTCTACTCAGCTTTACACCTATGTTCTTGCTGCTATTGGCGCTGTCCAGGCAGGACCTACCTCGTACGTCAAGCACTCGAGTTTCTAAACTTCGTATCTCACTCATCACCGCACCCGTACAGGATCAAACGCTCGCCGCAGTTCGACGTGCAGCTTTCGAACAATCTTCCGGTCACCGGCCCTCTTCCCTTCGGCCTTAACGTGGCTCCCGGTACGCCCGGCAGCGTTGTCAGTGTTGGCAATGCGACCACGGGCTCCACTGGCTTCCCCTTCAGCTTCAAGCGAGAGCCCCAGTTCGAAGTTCAGCTTCCCAACAACCTCCCCGTCGCTGGAGCGCTTCCATTCGGCCTCAATGTCGCGCCTGGCATTCCCGGCAGCGTTGTTTCCGTAGGCAACGCCACGACGGGCTCTACTGGGTTCCCATTCGGCTCGAAGCGCGAGCCTCAGTTCGAAGTCCAACTCCCCAACAACTTGCCCGTAGCTGGCGGACTCCCCTTCGGCCTCAACGTCGCGCCTGGTGTCCCTGGCAGCGTCGTCTCGGTTGGAAACGCCACTACTGGCTCGACCGGATTCCCCTTCGGCTCTAAGCGTGAGCCTCAGTTCGACGTCCAGCTGTCCAACAACCTCCCGGTGACGGGTGCGCTTCCCTTCGGCCTCAACGTCGCGCCCGGCGTACCCGGCTCCGTCGTCTCCGTCGGTAACGCGACCACCGGCTCCACCGGCTTCCCATTCGGGTCGAAGCGTGAGCCACAGTTCGATGTTCAGCTGTCCAACAACCTCCCGGTGACTGGCGCGCTTCCCTTCGGCCTCAACGTCGCCCCCGGTGTGCCCGGCAGCGTTGTGTCAGTTGGTAACGCCACGACGGGCTCTACTGGTTTCCCCTTCAACTTCAAGGCTTAAGCAGTGAACTGAGTATTACAGTCACTGTTGATTGGCAAGTTGCTGGCCATGTATACCGTATTCTACCAATATATCCTGTTCAATATAATCATGCATGAGGAATTTTATATTTGATTACAACCGTCCGGAGTCGATACCCAACATGCCATCTCGGTCAAGTACACACGGAATCATTTAGCTATTATGGCTGATCTTATATGAAGCCGCTTACGCCGTCAGCAAATTGGCCGAAGATGTCCAACGGGAATGCCTCTGCCATCGCGCGGTATCCTGCTGGGTTCGGATGAAGGCCATCGCCAGAATCAAATTCGGCCGTGATGACGGTAACGTTCTCGGGATCCCTGACCACCGCGTCGAAGTCAATGACAGCGTCGAACTTGCCACTCGTCCTTATCCATTCGTTGATGCGCTGCCGTGTCTGCTCACGCGTCGGATCCGCGTATCCAGGTGAGTTGTTGCCGAACGGTGTGATAGTCGCACCAAACACCGGAATGCCGAGCGCATGAACACGGGTGATGATCTGTTGGTATGCGATGAGGAGCTGGTCGCCGATTTCCGTCTGCGATTCCGCATCGTTATTCGCGACACCGATGTCATTCACGCCTTCGAAGATCATGGCGAACTTGACGCCAGAGTGAGAGAGAACATCGCGGTCGATGCGTCCGATGGCGTTGGGACCAAGGCCGTCGGCAAGGATGCGATTACCTCCAGCGGCCTGGTTGATCATAGCGATATTCGACGTGTTGGTGTTGTTCTGCATGCGCGCAAGAACGACATCGGGCCAACTACCATCGAGTTCAATGTTGAAGACGACGAGAAGTACATGAGAGGCGTACGAACCGGTTGTTCTCGTTGTCGGTGCTCTCGCGACCGTCCGTGATACTGTCACCGACGATGGCAAAAGCAACGGCGTCCTGAGGAGACCATGCCTCCACAGCGCTGACGAAGTACCTGGTGTTGTTGTTAGATCATATGCATCTTTCAAGTGGATATACCAGTTACCAATGCGCTACGCTGGCAGCGTCCGTCAAGTCAGGTTCGGCAACAGCATTGCCATTCACAAAGAAGCTTGTCGTGCGACTGCCAGGGTGTGAAGTGATGTCGACTCCCTGTTGCCCGCTCTCGAGAAACATGCTGACGCTGATCATACTCTGCGGTTCCACATCCATGCTGATGGGATCCGACACGAGAAGTGCTCCATTGGGTACGCTGAAGGAAGTGGCGCCGCTGAACGTGACGTTCTGAAGTGTCTCTGGCTGGATTCCGCTCACGCCTGCGGAACCATTCGTTGGAAGAGCAATGGTCACAGCAGAGATAGGCAGGTTCGTGAGACCAAATGCGTTGCTGAAGCGCAGACGGATGGTAGATGCGCCGAGGGAAAGGTGCAGTGTTTGGCGAATGGTGGCGTTCTCGAAGATGACAGTGGATGTGTTCTAGCAGAGCATCAGAGCGGTATTCTTGAATGACCTGTGAAACACGTACGAAAGGAGCCGGAGGAAGGTTACTCGACTCGGTGAGCTGTGGCATCGCTGCCCATGTGTCAACCCAATGTCCGTTCGCAGGCTCTGGTGTCTGTGCGAGCACGAGAGCGGGCCCAAATATGCCAGCAAGAACCGCCCATGCCGCTGAACTCCTCATCCTGCTTTTGCTCAGGCCGAACCACGGACGTCGAAGAAGAGGAGTGGGGACAGAGGCCTGACATCAACGTCATGCAAGCTCACTCTTATGAGGAACGAGGGGGTGCAGCTGGAGGAAGAGGTCAGCTGTCTATACTCGGGCCTCCGCATAGAAAGCACAAGATCTGTTGCCGATACTTCGCAACGGTAAAATTGTTACACCACATGAGATGCCGAAGAGAACCCGGGGCGCGTATCGCCGTTCAAGCCGTTGAACAGAGCGCGTGACGGGGTTTGTGGGTGTCCGTCCTAATATGAGTGTAGCAAGAATAGAAATGCGCGATGAAAAGAAGTCCTGCAAGTCGATATAGATGTACAAACCAACATGTGGGCTCGATATACCAGAGGTGGGTGGGTTAAGCGGGGACACGCTCGGCGGCTCACGAGCGGAGGATATTGCGATACCAGCAGTCCCTCGGGTTGAAAGGTAATTCGTGCGTCATGAAGGGTCTTTTAGAGGATGCTTCATGAAGGCCATGGTGGTGGAAGACCACAGGGACTATTCCCGCTCGCCGCTCGGTGGTGTCGACAGCGGTCCGGACACCCGCCCTACCGCGTCAGGCGGCCGCACCCAACCTGAATTCGACCCTCACTCATTCGGCCTCGTCTTCACATTGCTACGATATCAGGAAGGGCAACATGGCTAGGCAGTGGTCTTCAGATGACTACGCTCGACTCAGAGACGTCATAAACGACAGGTGTGTCCGACTTGCTGGTTAACCCTCGTGCGAGCACTAAACAAGCGATGGCCGTAGTCCTCTGCCAGAACTTGTCAGCGCCATCTCAAACCACTCAAATCGTCGCATCCTCGCGCGAAGCTTGAACGCGGAGCTTCAGCGGAGGGAGAAACATCTTCAGCTGATCCGAGAGTACTGCAACCTCCTCAGCGCGCCTATTCACACGTTGCCGCCCGAACTTCTATCACACATACTGTTCTTAAGCGCCGATGGCGAAGGCCCCGACAGTCTGTACACCCTTGGATGGACCCGGTATCTTCTTGTGTGCCGTCGCTGGCGTGACGTAGCATATTCTACACCCGCGTTGTGGAGCTTCGTTTCTCTAGAGCCACCCGAACTGTTCACTTTTCCTCCGCCCACCAAACACAACGACTTAATTCTCCGTCGGTTCTCCGCTCAGTGTCGGCGCAATGGATTCAAACCAACACACATGCGAATATTCCTCTATGCTCCACAATACGACAAAGAGTTCTTTGGGAGCTATCAACCTTTTCCTTGGGTTCCGTCGTCCTTGTCATCTCTTCGAGCACATGGGAGCACCAGTGGATTGACGAGTATCCTTGCAAGGATGGAGACCCATCACCACCCCCTCTTGTCCCATCTTGAAGTCAGGTTGATCGTTGCTGAGCGCCAGAAGCCGCGTCCGTTCATTGCGGACAGCTTTTTCAGCAGGCATACGACTCTTCGAGAACTAGTCGTTGTCGGAATCATCATTAACTTCGGACTCTTGCACAACCTCCGGGTATTGGAGGTCCTTCATCCATACAATGATGACTTGACCATCGAAGTCGATCATATCCTGGACGCCCTCTCGCGGTGCCCTACTCTTCGACTCGTGCATCTGAATCTACCACATAACGCCACTGCGCTACACGGTCCCAGACGTCAAGGGGTGCATATGCCCAATGTCGAGAGCATACAATTTGGAGGCTCTCGCGCTACAATCACGCCCCTTTTGCTTTCTCTACACTTACCCGCGGGCTGCGGGATCACCATGACCTCCTGGGACGAGGCTCAGCCGCAGGACTTCGTGCCATTGATCTCGTATCTGAAGGCCCATTATTGCCGTTCTTATACCTCCATAACCGACATCAGGTTGGGCCAGACCGATACAAGCCGACTATTCGAAATAATCTGGTTCCCACCCGCTACATGGAGCGACCCGTCTCGCTCAGAAGTGAGAAAGCAGTCGGAGACTACATCAATGATCCGTCTGAGTAATGTGGTGTCCCAACTTGGTGTATGTGCCGAATTCGCTGCCGTGGCGCTCTCCCATCTCCCTGTCTCAGACACCAAGACGCTGGATATGGGATTGACGACCAATTGTCATCCCGCAGTCTTACGGTCCATCTTCGAGCACCTGCCTTCCTTGAGGGCTGTGGTCGTGAGCTGTGGCCAACAGCACTTGAGCCAGTTCTTGGAGCTGCTCAAAGCCCGTCTCGCAGTTCGCCTTCCGGCGCCTGTCCAACAAATCACTATCGACGCTGCAAACGCGATTGAAGAGTCCGGGCCAAAGTCGCGCCCAATCGCCGCCCGCGCGCAGTCTACCGCCTTTCGCAAGGCGAAGAAGGACTTTGAAGACATACTCAGTTATGCCTCATCGGCAAAGGCGGCACACATGCCACTCGACATCATAGACGTTATCAACGACGGCGATCTCACTAACGATCCTGCCATTGTCAATATGACCCCCGGCGCTTCCAAGAAGCGCCTATGGCGCGCCCTGTCCACCGGATTTAGGCACAATGGTGTCATGCGCAACAAGGCGGTGGTTGAAGCGGAGCTCGAGAGAGCTCATCGTGGCAATGAACGCGAGTCGCTTCTGGAAGAGCTGAACGCGTAGTGTCCGAGAATGTACGGATGCATATACTTCATCGTATAGGTTTGTTTATTCTCCGCCCGTCAATGCTCCGGTACTGATTTATCACTAGAATTATAGTCGTTACCGCGCCGCAGAAGAACGTCTAGTGACACCCTGTACTTAGCGATGATAGAGTATATTGAGCATATACTGGTCTGCTCCCCTATAGATAGACGAGTGACCCAAAGCTCGTGTATGTATCACGCCTGGCGAGAAAGTCGACTCGAACGCCGATAAGGCAATATGAGTGCCAGTCTTCATGTGCCATGTGGCGTAGGCGTGAGCAGAAGCGCCGGCCTCGCAACCGATCCAGCTTGCGCAAAACGTCCATCTTCGTCGACGCGCCATCATTGCTCTATCTCAGAGAACCTGCAGCGCTGCATCGTTATACCTCGACCCGCTCTCTTCTTGCGCCCACCCTCATCGGATCAGACTTCTCCGTGAAATTGAAGCCTAGAGGAAGTCGTGGACTCTTCGAGTGGACTTGATGGACTACGCTGCACTAGAAAAGCTTGTGCACGATAAGTACGCTCCATCCGCACTTCACCCTCGTAGATATACGGAATAATGAACCGGATTCTACAGGCCCTCGGACGATCTCGTCAGCGCCATCTCGCTTCGTTCCGATCGTCATACGCTTGGTCTTCTACTCGATGCGGAACTCGAGCGTAGACGGAAGCAATTCGAGCTCATCGAGAAGTACAGAAGCATGTTGAATGCACCGGCCCACACTCTCCCGAACGAGCTGCTGTCCCATATCTTCTTCCTTACTGCGTGCGATGATGACCACGAGGCACTCTTTTCGCTTTCCTGGACTCGAATTCTGCTAGTGTGCCGGCGCTGGCACGACGTCGGGCGCTCAACGCCTCTACTGTGGAGTTTCATCGATTTACCAGCACTTCCGTACTGGGCCGACGGTCAACTAGTACTCAAGCGAATCGCATTACAGCGAGAGCGTGCAGGATCTACTGCACTTCACATACGCATGCACATTCCCGTCGGGCCGTTTCCAATGCGGTCGAAGAGACGCTGGACCCTTACTTCTGGCTATCGTCACCCCTTGCATCACTTCATATAGCCGGTACGACAAGTACGGCGCTCATGAAGGCCCTCGACAGGATGCGCAACCTCTCTGACCACTACCATCTCACGGCTTTGACCGTGCTGAACCTTGATGTAAAATCTACGAGCATGATTCAGATCGACGAAGATCTTCTCTTATCGAGATTTTGCCCAAGGCAGCTTGCTCTTTTAAGAGCGGCATTCAACATCCATTCCATTCATGACCTATGCTCTTTGAAGCTCATGTATCATGAAACCGACACTCTCACATTCGAGACCGATGATATACTTCACGCCCTTTCGCGTTGTCCGACGATCCAATCCTTGCACTTGAAGCTACCACTCGGTGCTCATCCACCTCGCACCTTAGGAGCGCAGGCCATCTCCTTGCTGAGTTTGGACGATATACATCTTGAGGGAACATATGTGACCTGCTGTGCACTCCTGACGTCTCTACACCTTTCGCCGCTGGCTCGCATGACCGTGTATCCCCTGGACGAAGTCGCGCCGCATGAGGCATCACAGCTATTCTTGTATCTGAAGGCGCGCTGTGAGCATGCAGACGCTCCTGTGCTCACAGCCCTTATACTTGACGAAATGCCTTACATCAACCTTACCTTCGATCTCGCCTTCTGCACTAGTACCAAGCCGTCATCGGTGTCTGACAGCAAGAGGGATGACCATGGTAGAAAACCGGCCGATTCCACCTTTGTTCGCTTCGGCTTGGTAGCCTTTACACCGGAAGCGTGCGTGGAGGTAGCTAATGCAGCACTGCCTTACTTCCCCTTGAAGAACATTAAACTCTTGGATATTCGTCGCCTGTACGAGAGCCCTCCCGAGCTATTGCAACCTTTCATGCAACAGATCCCTGCTCTCGTTACTCTGGCAATCGACTTCTACTACCCGTCATTCAATGACATCGTGAACGGCACCCTTCGTCCCCATCTTGCTACTAGGCGCCGACGTCCCTTCCGGCACCTTGTGCTCGACGCGGCCGAAGCACTCGAGCGGATCGGCCTCACCACTGGGGGATGGGATCCGGAGGAGTGCGAGCTGGAGATTGAGGCAATCAGAGAACGGTTCGTGGACGTGCTCAAGTACTGTTCTGAAGCCAATAAGGCCGGAAGGCCGCTCGACATATTAGAAGTCATCAATGACGGCCATCCGTTCGACGATCCTTCTACGGCCTCCTTCGTTCTGCAGGTCCCGTTGGATCAGCTCTGGCGCGACCTCGCATACGGCTTCATACGCAACAATGAGGTTCTGAATAGGGATGGGTATTGGGTGGACTTGGGTGAGGAATGAAGGAGAGGGCCACTGCGAGATCCTGTTTCCGTGATTCGACCCGTGTCCTGTATGAGTGTAACTTACAGAACGTCAACGAATAGTTCTTGATAACGACCCGAGTCTCCATGATGCACGCTTCAGTCGGATTCCTGACCCTTCCACGATACACGCCAAGCTCAGCGGGCATAAGATCCGTGCAGAGAACAAGTGTCGGTGAAGCATGTGTGAGCTGGTACTCCGCTCATTGGCGGAGCAAGTCGGTCGCGGCGCGAGTCCGCCCATGCACAACACAACATCCGCGCCGCAGAAGATCGACCGGCGTCCATCATCTCGGGCGCGCATTACAGGTGCTCACCAGACCGACCTCGCCGACCAACTCAATTCATTTCATAGGCTGGTAGTGAAAGGTAGTGAATCATGATCCTCGCCGACGAGAACGGCTTCACATCGACATATGAGGGTACCCGGCTTTGCGCTCGGTTGATCCTGCCTGACCAACGCCGGCGCGGGCGTAAGAGAGTTCACTCTATCTGTTGCTGCTGCTGTTAGGTTCAAGATCAGGTCAAAGCGCCCTCATGCTCTCTGCGCTATCGGATTGAGATAGGGTACCGTCTAGGGCCCCCTTCAGGGCGCAGCGAAGCTTATGCCATGGAAAGAGCCGCGAATAAAGGACCACGCCTGCGCGATTCTTTGATCGCCGTACTGGCTGGAGTGGACCAGAAGCAAAGCGTTGCCCGTATCGATACATGCGCGCTGTACAAGCGCAGGATCTCCTGCGGGGGATCGCGCTAATGCGGACACCGAGGCCTCAGCGTGTCAGCCAGAACCGGCCACAGATGATACTTAGATCTCGCCCGAGTCCGCATCCGAGATGCCAACGCGATGCTCAAACTTGCTCGCCGGGCGTCCTAGTCCCTTCATTTGCACAAGCGATCGAGCCGCGCGCCACATACCGCGACTACCCGTTTCGACAGCTGTATTTCCAGAAGGAGCTGCTGTGAAGACGAGATGATCATGAGCGGCCTCGCGCGGTCGACGATCTGTAAGATCCCCCATAGCGCTCGCACCCTTGCTAGATGCACTGCCCGTAAGGTTCACATACTTATCCGATGCTGAGTTTATGGCTTGAACTCTGACTGGGGCTCGGGCCGAAGGCATAGCGCCCAGTATCAGCGTGCCCACGCAAGCGGCCGCGCCGGAGATCGTGGCTTCGCAGTTTCGTAGTATCGCGGGTCGGCACTTCGTGCTATCGTACGGAGGTCATCTCGCGCAGCAGCAAAGCTATACATCACAGTACAAGTCCGAGTGAGAGTTCAAGTCCAACAGCGAAGGAAGATCGAAGGCGAGCGGCGCAGGCCTGCGCAACACCCACCGCCGCTTCCGGGCGTTGCTTCGTGGCCACCCCCTCCGCCCAAATCGAGCTTCGCCGCTTCTTCCTTTTCCATCCACGCATGGATCAAGCTTTCGAGGGCATGTCAAACCCGGCGGCAGTCCTGATCAGCTCGCGGATGGGCGATGGACAGCGGAAGCAAAAATCCTGGCCTCGCGCAGGGCACGCTCCAGTCAACGCAACCCTCTTCCAAATCCGCTCGTCGACTCTCGGACCGAAAACGGCAAAAAACCAGGGGCGGGCCAGGGTCGCGCGTCATATCGAGCCTCCATTGAAT